GTTGCTTAAGGAGGGGGACACATTCTGAGAAATGCATTTGTAGGGGATTTTGCCATGTGCGAACATGGTAGACTGTGCTGGAGGGGAGCAAATCTGCCACCCCAAAATGTGTCTCTTTAATATGAAGATTATTTTAGGCTGATTATTTTTAAGAAACAAAAGACAGAAAGTTTTTCTCGTTATCTCCTTCTTAAGCCTAAAAATTCAGATTTTAAAAAACCTGTCTCAGGAAGCAAGCTATCACCTTAGCTTAACATGAACTAGGTCGTAGACAGGAAGGAACCTAGAGAAGCCTGTGTGCTGGGCTCCCCTCTGTGTTCTTCTGTTTCTGTGGCCAAACAAACACTTGTTTTCCAAATGTTTACTCCTTTTCAGCTACCTGTGAACTGCCTTCTTCCCTTTCAAGTCCCTGCCTCTCCTCACCCCCAACACCTGCTTTTGTCTTTAGCTGAGGATGGTATTTAAGGTGAGAGCTTTGGCCATTTTAGTGAGTCACTCAGTTTTCCTGGGTTTCTCTCATGTATATATGTTATCAAATGTTTGTTTTTTTCCTCTTAATCTGTCTCATGTCAATTAATTCTTAGACCCGTCAGAAGGATCTAGAAGGGGAGAGGGAAATTTCTGCCTTCCCTACAGTACTCCTACAAACCTGGAAGCTACAGCCTACTGCACACCTAGGCTATATGGTATTAATCTTGTGGGACCATTGTCATGTATGTGGTTCATTGTTGACCAAAACATCATTATGTGGCACATGACTGAGTGCCTAAGAAACTGATAAAGGTTTTGTACCCTGACTGGGAAAACATACGGCAAATGAAAAAATAGAATAGAGGATAGACTATGGCATAATCTACATGAAAATTTTAAGCTTTGCTCCTAAGAAATACTCCATCCATTTGATAGCATTTTTATTAACATAATTCTTTAGTACAGCTTCTAAGACCTAATATTTATATGTAGATCCTATAAATTATTTATTCTGGAAAAATATTCAGATTTGAATGAAGAAAATTTGACTTGAAAGTGTTTTGAATAGAGAATTCAAGTTTACAAGGAGAAAATGTTTCCAGCGATGTTAACTGCCTCTCAGTCACCCTGTGCTCTCTTTCATCTCTAGGCACATTGCAATTTAATGTAACACCTACTAAGTACAAGGCATTCAACACAAAGGAACTTAAGTGGTGATTACTACCATCAAATAGGAGATAATGTTCTCAGTTTCTAAACCATTGGCAAAGGAGCTGAGAAAAACATCTTTGATTACCCTCGGAGGGAGTGAAATAAAGCGCCCTGGTATAAAAATCAGAGTGTTAGGTTTAGTATGCCTCTGGTTTCAGATCACAAAAAACTTTGGACCTGGAAATCAGACATATCTGGGTTCACGCTGGCTCTTCCCCTTTCACACACTAGCTGTGCATCCTTGGGCAAGATACCCAGCTTCTCTCCACCTCTGTTCCTCTATCTGTAAAATGGAGTTAAAAACACTAGGCACAAAGGCTCATTAGCATTTAATGACGTGGTGCCTGTGAAACTTCTAGTGCAGTGCCTGACCAAGTGGACCAGCAGGGAATGTTACAAGATGGTGAGAATGACTTTGCAGTGGTGTGCCACAATGTTGGGCAGCTTTTTCTGTTGAGGTGAAAAATTTCCTCTGTGAGAAGAAAGTTTCCTCAGAAGATAAGATGTTGTCATTTAACCTTCTGCTTTTGTCACTTTGGCAAAGGTTACACTTAAAAGATAGGCAGAAATTTCTGATTCCTTTCAAGTCAGCCTATCACGTGTCTTCATGTCTTCAAGATCATTGTCTTCAAGATCGTTCCGATATGAATTTAAACTAGAATTGCAGAGTGGAGTGAAATTTCACTTCTGGTTTGTTCCAGTCTCCAGACAGACTCAGTACATAATTGAACATCAGAGAATAGTTTTGGATAAACCATTTTTTAAGGTTTTCAACTGGATTTTTTTAATATGACATTGATTGAACTTGAATAGCGACTGACTCCACTTGATCTCTCACTTTTCATGATCATCCCGTTAAGTTTATCCGTAGAAATATATAGAGTAGTATATTACTATGATTCAAAGTTCCTACCTAGAAAATATTTGTTCCATTCTCTGTTTCCACACAACTTGGATCAATGTGGAAAACAGATGTCCTGCATCTGAATCTACTCTAGCAATGAAAGTGAAAGGAAATCACATCCTCACATTTGAGAAAACATAGGATGCAAATTGTGAAAAATCCCACAATGGTCCCATTTTGTACACAGTTTCCTGCCCAATGTTTAATCCTATCTTCAAATGGAATTGTCGAGGTTTAAAAATATGTAATTTAAGGGAAGTGGAAAAGCTATTTGGTCTGTTGTCTCCCAAAGTCATTAAAAATATCCCCTTTGTAAGGCATCTTGAAGAAGCATGCAGATTACAAGGCTGGTAAGAGCCACTATTGAAAACTGCTGTGCTGTATCTTCATGTGATGTTTAAGACAATTACTGGAGGTAACTACTACCCACGTTTCTTTCAGAATCATTTCAGAAGATCAGCTAAAAATGCTGTTAACTATAAGAGACTCAGTCTGTCAAAATGTATTAAAGTGACATACTGTTAATGCTAGTTCAACCCCAAAAAAATCATACTGTAATGAAACGCTTTATATAAACTCAGGAAGGCTAGGAAATTCACAGTTCTCTACTAAATTAGCTAGTATTTGAGACCCATGTTGGTGTGACATAGAAGTGGTAATTAGACTGCCTGCAGTGGCTTGCTAATGGGCATAGATGTCTTTGCTTTCATGAGAATGTGTTAGAGACCTAGAAATGACTTTTCTCCAAAATGGGGGAAGGATTTGGAAGAAGCCAGGTGTGGGTAAACATAAGGGAAATTTATTTTTCTTGCCTACCTCCCAACATTTCTCCCTAGCACATAAAAACACAGACCTCAATGCACCCTCATACACACAAACACACTTTGAACTGAGCCATGTCTATAAAGAGCATCTTTAAAATAACTCTTTTTTTTCCCAAAATCGGAGCAGCAGACAATGAACTCAGTGCCTTACATTCAGGATAGTCATAACCCCCATTCCATCCATGGCATCAAAGATTTAGTTGAGAGGAAAAGACTAGATGATATTGACATGACTACAAATGAGGACCAAAATGAGATGGAAGTGTCTGCACTACTTTCCATCCTTCTGAAACTTGCTAATGAAACACCATCAGACTTTGCAAAGGTCAAACTGAGGGAAAATAAAAGCTAGCATACACTTCTGATGTTTTCTAATTTGACCAAATTCACAGACTGTATCTCATCATATTATCAGAGCCCCACTCAGAGAGATCAAGCATTGAGGAGTTCCTAAATGTGAAGAAAGTGGTGGAGAGTATTCTCTTTCCCCACGAGTCAGAAATAAAAGGGAATCTTCTTCAGGAGCAGAAACTTCATGAGCCAAGGGTCCTAATGTCTCAGTTCTCAGTTCAGGAATGGCTCTGCACATAGGCAGATGGGACGACGTTATTTGAAAGAAAATATTATTTGAAGAATGCTTTGACACCTTCTAGTCTTTTCCCTACTGCCCATGTTGACTCCATCCTTCCTTCTCCTTGCCTTGAAATTTCCTCCATTAAGTAGGCCCTTGGTCTCTAGGAGTTTGCTATTAAATATGCTGCCTGGGAGAATTTTCTGACCTTTGCTTTAAATGCAGATTAATTCATCAGATTATCTAGCTAACACTTGTGTCTCTGACACAATAAAATACGGTTAAATTTCACTAAAGAAAGAGAAAATACATGTGAAATTGCTATCATCATTATCATTTTGACTTCCTTACAATTGTGTTCAAATATCCCTATTATCTGGCTTTAATTTATATTTCCAGCCTGTTTTCTTACTTTTCCATTTCAGGTTCCATTCGTTGACCTTCTGACTCTTCCCTACATAAACCTCACACTTTTCCACACTTATGACTTTGCTCGTTCTTTTTTTCGAAGCCCCCACAAATGCCGCATACTTGATCATTTGTCCATTGGTAGATAAGGTCACTTGACACAGCTATTCACAGTAAAGATTTTAGCTCCAATGTGCATTTGTGAGCCATTGAGTGGTTCTTAAATTAAAGTGTGCGTAAGAATCACACGGAGTGTTTGCCAACAATGGAGATTTTGTGGCCCCGCCTCCAGGATTCTCATTTGGTAGTTCTCTGAGGACTGAGAACAGGCATTGTAATAAGTCCACCTGGTGGTTCCCGTGCGGGTGTCCAGGACTGATTTCTGAAACACTGAGCTAACATCTCTCCTTTACTTTTTAAATTTCTGGCAAAAGGCTCCCCAGAAAACATTTTTTCAAAACAAAAAATGTCATTAAAAATTATCATTAATTCCCAAAAATTCTATTGCAGAAACATTAGAATACAGACATTTTTCTCCCCTACCTTTCTAGCTGGATTGAAAGTATTTAGACGGGAGATAGCTAAATGTGGGTTAATGAAATTGCTATTAATCACTTTTTTGAGAAAAATGTAGGAATCCCAAGAACATGCTATAATTTGCATCACTGTTGTACCGCCTCTGCCAGCTCTGTGGAGTAACAAAACAGCTATTTATGAAAAGGGCAGGTTTAAAATGAAAATATTTCTTTTGCAAAACTCAGGAAACAGTATGAGAGCCTGCGAACTGCGCTCTTCCAACTGGAGAATCCCGCATTTGTAATAAATTCCTTTCGCTCTGGATGAGTTCTGCATTTTCAATGAGGTTAACTTGGCAACATTCTAGTTGATTTTAATAAAAATAGCTGCTTTGAGGACAAGGAGCTGAGGTTGCCAAATTTACAGCTGCCTCGCACAATTGCTCTTACACCTCCTTCAGGGCTACTGAGAACCAGTAAGCAAATTAAGTGTATCGATTGCAATTTTCTCGGACTAACCCCCCCTATTTTTTCTTAAGGAATAAACTTGATTCCTTTAGTATGTGTCTGTTCAGAGTGATCTCTTTTCTTTTCAGCCATAACACAAAGACAACATCATGGCTGGATCCACGACTTGCGAAAAAGGCTAAACCTCCGGAAGAATGCAAAGAAAATGGTAGGTTATTAAGTTTTTATGGTGTTTCCGCGCTTGCACTTGGAGAACGTTTGTGTTTCTTAAGAGAGGGTCTCACCTAAAGAAGCAATGATCTGGCTGAAACTGTTTTAAAGATGTAATGTGTAACGCTCAGATGGGAGAGAGAATTAACTCGGCATTTCAGTGGGGCCATGTGGTTTTCCTTTTTCTCTCTGAGGAGCTGTGTGGACCTCCCTTCTCTGTCATCGCTGTTGGTTCTGTTTGACTCCTGGCCTGACTTTCTACCACCTACTTAGGACTTTTTGTCTGCAATATGTCTTTCTGAGGACTGATCTTTTAATTGGAGTCAAACATGCTTTATAGAGAAACAGCTTTTGGAACTATAGATAATATTTGAATTTTGTATTTAGAGGCATAGCATTCTGCTAGTTATTAAGGAACCAGTGATAGAAAGATCTATACATAGAGCGAGTTTCCTTTAATCAAACATTGAAGCAAAATGATTAATTGCTTGTATCTCCTAGGTTATTCTTAGGATTTTCCAGTTCCCAATGTGATAATATTAACTGGCTTAGAAATCGACTGTTTTCGTGTATGTGAAGAGTTTTTTAAACAATTTTGAGGATTAGATGAATGTAAACCTTGTTTTTAAATTTGTAAATTATATAGTTGAAGTCTGTTACTGATGATACATGTAATTTCTTAAAATATTGAGTTTAGTGTTAAAAGAGCGCTTATAAGTTAGCTAAAATGATAAGCAGCGTACTCTCGTGATGATTTATTATTTGACCACCATCCTTTATCTAATCAAATTGTTCGCGCCCTGTTCGGAGGCGTCTATGCCTGAGGAGCTCTTAAAGGTGAAGAAAGCGATGAGGAGTATTTGAACTTTTTACAAAGTTTTTGCAACGTCAACTTTTGAGAATGTCTAATTCTAGAAGTCCTTTCGTTTTAACAATAATTCTGGCTTTCTCGGATAATATCTAGATAACATTGTTCATTCCAAAGTTATAGGAACTGTTCACAAGCTAGTTATAGTACTGAATTAAATTAAAAATTAGAATATATGATTTATATGTACACATCTAAATGCAGAAATATCGTTTTTAGTCACTATACAATTTATTCGTACACATCTGAATGCAGAAATATCCAGTTTTTAATCATTATCTACATTGAATTTTATATTCATAGCTGTATCTGTGTGCCTTCTTTATAGTAGTGATTGAATTCCATAAAGTTATTATGTGACCTGGACTTCTGAGCACAATTAGGTTACATTTCAGTGACACCAGCAAGACGTGTATTGCAAATTATGATAGGTTCTAAATTAAAATGACCTGGTCTCTTATATCTTGGACTTACAATTTACTTTTGCCACAGATATAAAACCTTAGTATATCCTAATTAAAATAAATTTAACAATTTCGCAGTTCTGTGACATACCGAACTTCGCAGCTGTCTTGTTCGTTTGAGTTGTTCTTTTCGTTATAAAAAGCTATTAAAGTCAAATTTCAAAATCCTGGGAGAGATGTTGGCATAACATATTGCATAATTATAATATTTCAGTGTTATCAGTTTTTCCCACATCTGCACTTATCTGTCTTCTTAGGATGGTAGATGCCTAAAATGATGCCACAGTCTGTGAGACACGTGTCATTGAAAAATGAGTCCCAGAATGCCATCTTAAAGCTGAGATTTATAACTGGTCAATTACTATTTGTTTTCATTTTCTACAAAATAAACAATTCATAAATCTTATTCCGTATATTATTGGAATGTTTTACAATGGAAACTAACGTCTAGTTAGCTAGAATGCTATTATTCTGGACACATTTGAGGTTTTCTTGCCAAGAAAAGTGCTTTTAGGTAATACTGTTACTTCTCTTTTATTTTTCTTTTCTTTGAATAACATAGATTAAAATTGCTCGTTTAAAATGTTGGATGTTCATGGATTGCTGTTGAGCTTGCTAATTGAGTCAGGCTTCTTTGCATGTATCACAGTTCAGCTGAGACCAAGCAAAGTTAGTAATTTTCTGAATGCTGGAATGTGTGTAAAATGTTGTGGAGGCTCAAGACGGTAATATCTTTCTCCAGCAACGATTTATCCTTCTTCAGCCAGGGAGATAAGAGTGGTGGATGATCACCTTAAACCAAACGAGTTGAGCCAACATGAGGTTGGGTTGAGTTCTGGCAGGACCCAGTCTGTCTCTGGTTTGCTCCTGTTCTTACGGAGTTCCCCCCGCCCCCCCACAAGGTTTTCAACCAACAGCCTCCTGCAGGTCGGCAACCGTTTCCTATAAAGGGTCAGGGAGGGAATATTTCAGGCCTTGTAGGTCCTCCCGTCTCTTTGCAACTACTCATTGTGCAAAAGCAGACAAAGGCAATCATAAATAAAGGGCATGGGTGTCCAATAATGCTTTGTTTATGGACACAGAATTTGAGTTTCATATACTTTCACGTAACTAAATATTGTTCTTTTGATTTTTTTTTTTTGTCAACCATTTAAAATTGTATAAACTGTTCTTAGCTCATGAGCCACATGAAAAGTAAGGACAGGCTGGATTTGGGTCTCAGGATGAACCCAGGCCTAGTGTGTTCATGTGGGGCCTTCCCCCTGGCAGGTCTTGCATGCCAATCTTTTAAAGATATTTTTCCTCTTAGTATTGCAAGACTTCCGAAAATCTCTGGTGCTTTTCAGGGGTTTTAGCTTGGGTTTTTGACTCTAGATGTTGCAGCTTCAGAATTTGATAAATGTCCTCATGGTATAATTGGCGGTTGTGTTTGAGATCTCTCAAGTCTATATTTTGTCACTCCATTCCCTCAAGATGCCTCGACTCTTTGCTGGTTTCTAACATCCAGCTTCTGCCCAGGCCAAGTCTGGATTCTTCCACAGCCCAGAATCAACAAAACCAGGTGCAAAGTCTGCCCTCCCCTCTCCAGAGTTCCCTCCTCTTCAGAACCTTAGTCTAGATGTGTCGTTTCAGCCGTCCTCTGATCCCTTCTAATTGTTCAGCTTTTCCATTTTATCTAGTTTTTCTATGTATTCTCATGGGTTATAAGCTTCTCACTCCTAGAAGCAGAAGTCCTACCTAGAAATGGAAATTTTAGTGCAGTAATTTTTAAATTGTACATTTTAGACCTTACTCGGTTGCATACCATAAATTCTTTATTATTATCATAAGTTATGTTTTAATCTCTAAAGGTTGAATTCCATGACATTGTGTATGTATGCATACTACTGTGAATGTACATATGTACATGTGTATATGTATGTAGATATGGATCTGTAAACGTATGCATCTTCAGATCTGTTTACAGAGGTGCATGAAAATTCTTTGGTCAACTATAATAAGAGAAAGCCAAGTGAAAGCGAGACGGAAGGAGGTATTATTCCGGGGCTGGAGAAAAACTAGCAAGTGTTTGTTTGTTGGTATCAAGGGAGAAGATGTCTCAGTATAAATACATATTGGACAACCACTTATTCTGTTGACACTAAAGCAATCATTTTGCTTTTTTATTTGGAAGATAATACTGCTACTAAGCATAAAAACAGGGGGGCCAGCCCTGTGGCATGGTGGTTAAGTTCACGTGCTCTGCTTTGGTGGCCTGGGATTTGCACGCTCAGATCCCAGGCACGGACCTACACACCGCTCATCAAGCCAGCTGTGGTGGCATCCAGCATGCAAAATGGAGGAAGATTGGTGCAGATGTTAGCTCAGGGCAAATCTTCCTTAAGCAAAATAAAATTAAAAAAAAAATTGAAACCAAAAAACATACTTCCTTCTCTCATACTGTGGTTGAAATACTGAAGCCGTTGTGCTCTGTGCGTTTGTCACAGCTCTGTGCATTTCTGGAGTTTTAGCACCAGTCTACATAGCAGAAAAATGTCTCCACCTACTACTGGATTCTAATATTAGTATTTAGGGGAGGGCTGCTGAGCAAGCCAACGTAGTCCTTTACAAAATGCCACAGAAATAGCAGTTAACTATTCAACAATGTGGATGTAGGATTGTTTGAACTCTGAATAAACCACCCCGATATTTTGTCCCCAGCCCTCGGAATCAGTCCATGGGCTTTCTCCTGACACATTTCCAGCTGCAAACAGCGCAATGCTGACTCATCCCAAAAGATCACTGAGCCAGAGTTAATATCAAAGTGATGCAAGCCTGGTAGGAATATTCTTTTCTTAAAATTGAAATGTGACTAAACTCAGTAGGACTACACTATCACCTCCAGGAGAGGAAATTGTGTGGGATTTTGAGTCACAGAAAACTCTACTCCAAACACCAACCTTTGGTCTTTTGGACAAGGTTCTTAATTTCCAGGATCTTAGGTGTTCCTACCTGTAAAATAGGTCTGATACATATTTCACACAGATTTTGTGTCACATGCAAGGACAGTCGTCTGTGGCATCAGAGGCCCTCAAGAATGGCGGCTTTCCTTTCCTCCAGTTGTACTCCGAGCCAACAGATTTGCCTCATAGATGATGAGGGAGAAGAAAATCAGCATGGCTGCCCCACATTAAGAGCTTTGAATTACTCTAGGATGTCCTGGAGAGATGGAAGAGAACAAACCCATGTAGGCTAAAATTATCCGGCTAGCTAATTCCAGCCTAATATTAACAGATTGGAGGTTTCCCCCCTCCGTTCTGTTTTACTGGCTCTAAATTCTCACAAAATTATCATTACAGCTATATGAACTGGATGGCTTCATTTCTGTATTCTGTATCTATGAATTATAAGTGAGCATTCTCACGTCACCACAGAAAAAAATCACATAATCTCAACCCATTTACCTACATGAAAACTGCATTTCAACTGACATTAACGAAAGCTTTGAACTATTCCTTACTCTATTTTTTAAAAAAAAATTGTCCAAATGCACATGAATGAAGGTAGCATCAGCTATGTCTTGTAATATTTATTAAATGGATTTTTTTTTTCAGGAGAAAGAGGTTGCCTTTCTAAAGTAATAGAAAATACTAATTAGTTTCAGCTTGTTTCTTAAGTGAGTGTTAT